GCATTTGATATCTATTATCAAAATATCTGTTATCAGATTCTATTTGTTATCAAGTTTTTTTTTTGCATTTAATATCTATTATTAAGTTTATTGCATATCTTACCTATGATATTTATTATTGTATTCATACACTTAGGTAAATTATAAATGGATGAATGTAGAAATTTTTGCTATCCACTTTTTGGCATATTAAATTAATGATATATATTTTTACGGAAACATGTATAGCAGGTACATTTTAATCTACAGGTAAGGAAAAAAGGTAGGATTCGTCATCAGGGCTAGGCTTCACAAACAAAGATTTGGCGGATAGAGCCTTACTTGTGCTTAGTTTCCAACTTACACCGTCGATTTTTCTTAGGTATGGTAGAGTGTGTTGGGAAAAGTTCGTTTGTATATGTTGAATAGCTAGGGAAAGGTTTATTCAGTAGTAGAAGTATAGCAACTATATTTGATAGTGAAATGAAAAGGTGGAATAGGATGATCTGGTCCTTTTAAAAACACAGTCAATCCTCGAGTTGAGCGAGATAGAGGAGGCACTGATTTGATCTTCGACCAAGAAGATTTCTTTAAAAATGCCAAGAATGCGTTTGTTGGCGCTTTTATATTGCCCCTAAATGGGGTTAGGCTTACGATAAGGGAATAGCTCCATTTAAGGTCTTTACAAAGCTGACAATAATTTCACAGCTGCAAGAGAGAAATTTGCATAAAAGATTACATTTCTTGATACGAAAAAGGAAATTGCATTGCCAATCATCGTATCAGATGTACAGCTTTCTCATAGTTTGTATGTAAATTAGTTAACGGATATATGCAATTTCATTATTAAAAGAGAAGACATTTTTACATGATTGAGTTTAAATAATACAGATTCATCACTTTAGATAGAGAAAAAAGATAATATATATTTGTTTGTATAATGTGATGACACAATCTTTTATCATAGAAATGTTTTTTTTACAACAAATTCTTTAGCTGTTTGGATGTATTACAATTTCCTTCGATTTTTTTCCGATAGTATGCGCGAAACTGTTCCAACCGTTAATTCTAAGGTTCATTGATATTAGGGACTAGCGAATTTAGGACGTTAACAGTGAAGCCTTCAGAATATTGGTTTTGTTAGAGTAATCATCTCATAGATGAAGGATAGCCTTACAGGATGAAACGAGCTCCATCTGCCGGGATTATAGTTAAAAAATTGTTCTTCTAGGATAGGAGGCTAGCGGTCCCATTGCCTATGGATGGATGCTGTTTGTCTGATACTTCAATTGAAATCTATGTAGTATGGATGACTCTACCGGGGGTATAAGTTTCCATCCACCAGTATAGCTCGCAATCTCATTAAGGTATGCAAGTATTTCACCGGCGATTTTATCAGCGATAAGGAGGTATAAGTGGAGAGAGGACGAGATAGCTCATCATCATCGTGATTAGATTTCGCAAACGAAGATATAGGAAGGGCTTTATCATTCCATCGTTGTTGCAAGTAACCAAAAAAAAAAGCAAGCATTAGAGGAGATTGACGATTAAAGTTCATTTTGTAAGAAGTTTTGATCAAGGTTTATTAATGATAGTAGATTGTCAACGAATATATAAAATACAGTCACGATTAGGTTTTTTGTTGATGTAAAAAGGAAATTTAGCATGTTGAATGGATTGAGTTGAATTGGAGCTTAAGATAGGATTGATATGTAGAATCAAAGAAGCCTTAGATTTTTTTTTAAAACTTGTCACATATTGCATGAAGCTTTATCGAACGGCTAAACAAAAATTCCTTATGTAATGGATGTAGTTTACAAAATCAATGCTAAAAAAAATTAATTCCCAAACAAAGGAATGTGATAAGCTTAATGAAGCTATTAATAAGCTTAATGAGCTTGTTCTAATATTATAAATTTTCTTGTATTACTACAAATAGCTTGCTTATCAAAACATTGAATATAAGCATGATTATATTAGATTAGAGACTTTTATATGATATATACTCATTAATATACATTTAAGTTGAATTGTTAAGCCAACTATTTCTTTAAAAAAAAAACAAAAATTACAAATAGCTTGATTATCAAAATGGCAATCCGTCCTTTACAACAATGTTCTGTGAATTGAGTAAAATGATTCATTATTTAAAACGTTCGGAATTTTTATTTTACTTTTTGTGTAATGAATCATTCATCGATGAAATATTTCTAAATAAGAAGGCATTCTTTATTCTATGAATTTATAATACATATATTTCGTTTATTTCAATATATCATAAATTTTTTTAGATTGTAAATAAGTTTGACTATCAAAATATCTTTACAACAGTATCATGAAAATTGAATAAATGATTGATTCATTTACTTGATGCATTGGAATTTTAATTTTTTATTAAGTTTTTTTTTTTTCTTCTCAGATTTTTCAATAATTGTAGTCGAAAATCAATAGTACAATTTATTGAGACACAATGAAATGATAATTTTACGAATAATTTGAGAGACAAAGCTCAATAAATATATAGGAAAGGGAGATTCTTATTCATTGATCCTTGCTTCTATATAAGCAATAAGATTGGTATCGTTAATAAAAATCAGCTCATGGACAAAAAAAATAATATTGAGTCTTAATATAATCTTTTAGCATACCGTAGATTGATTGACCTACTGATATGATTTTAGCACACCGTAGATTGATTAACCAACAATTGATACGATTTTAGCATACCGTAGATTGATTGACCTTCAAGTGATACGATATTAGCGTGCCGTAGACCGGTCAACCTTCTATTGGTAGGATTTTAGCACACCGTAGATTGATCAATTGATACGATTTTAGCATACCGTAGATTGATTAACCTTCAATTGATACGATTTTAGCACACCGTAGATTGATTAACCTTCAATTGAAATGATTTTAGCATACCGTAGATTGGTTAACCTTCTAATGATACGATTTTAGCATACCGTATGTTTCAGCATACCGTAGTTGATTAACCTTCTATTGATACGATATCGGATATAAATGATGTTTTTTCTTTGTTGAGATCTATTATAGTACGATAGAATAATTTATGCAAGAAGATTGTGATAAGAATTGGTATAAGAAGTTACTGATTATTGGGAAAAATTTAGAGAGTAGAGTAGTCGTAGTGCATTGCAATATTTTGATCTAATCATGGATATTCTTGTGAAAAACATTCTTTCTAATCGTTCTAATTATTGTTACAGAACCTTTTCTGTTTGGTAGTGTTAAAAACTTTGGTGAGATTTATGAATGAATGTTATATGGTTTATTTGATTTGTTCTTTGCATTTCATTTGTAACTTTATGAAAACATATACTGTATGTCTATTATATGTGAAATGTAATTGTATTAGAACATATACTGTATATCTACGGTATTCCTATTAATTGTAAAATCATATTGATTTTCAGATAGCTTTTAAATTTTCTCAGATAACAGATGATAATTTATTCAGAAGTATTCTTGCAAAGATTTTATCAATAGAGAGTAAAGGAATACTTTGAGTAATTCGGATTGTCTGATTTTTCTCCTACTTGATACAGTAATGATAACTGTATTACGGAGATTTATTGATAGTTCTTTCAAATCACAGTCAACATAACTTATAACTATATCAGAGTATATAAACTTCTACTTCCTTCGACAAGGAAGATATTCATGGAGAAATTAAGGTGAAACATCAATCGAAAGATTTGTCCAAACAAGGATCACGAGAAGCTAACCTGGAAATGGAGTTTACTGCCAAAAGAGGAAGGGGGAGTAGTTCGACCAGAAACTGGTATTTATGTTTACCGTTGAAGGGAGATGTCCCGGAAAAAGGAGAGGACATTTGAAGATTGGAGGAATTCAGTTGGAATTGAATTTCGAGGTTGATTCAATAGCAGCAAAAGCGACAATTCAGTAATGGGATAGAAGCAGGACCATTGCTAATGAATGTTCAAACGATTGTTGCTATCCTTTAATATTTACTATTACTCATCATCTCTATCATTATTGTATAAACGTGATATTGTACAATATCATATAACATTTATAAAGGTCAAAGTCACAGTAATAAGAAAAATAAATAAAGAGATCTTTCGCGACAATTTTTGGTAACATGAGTCGAAGATGTCATCGATGATGATACTAGTAAGCATTGCCCCAGGAAAGGGAGGATTAACGAAATGCAAGAAAATGGACTGAGGAATAATCGATCACCATATATTAGATGGAGAAAACTTTTGGGAAAAGATATTCTAATTTACTGTTGTTGCTATGAATCCACTTCATCGACAGTAATCTTTAATGGTCTTACACGATATTTTACAATATCACGCTTATACAGTAATATTAATGGATACTAACAGGTCTCCTCTGAAAATTTTTCACTACATTGTCATACTTTCCTTTTATAGCTGTCGTTCTCCTTTCACTTTATCACTGGCCATTGCTACTCCTGCTTCTACTACACTACAGTCTATATCCATTATTGAATATTTGCTTCTGATAAATTATCACTTCTAATGCCATCGAAGTGCTCTGCGAAATTGAATTCAACAAAACTTCCCCGACTCTTGAATTCATCTTCTTTTAAATCCTTTGGGATTTGAAAGATCTTTAGTGTATTCTTCTTGTTGCTATAAATTCACTTCACCAACAGTAACCTTTATTGGTTTTTATACAATACTGTATAATATTGCGCTTATACAATAATAGGGACGAAATGAACAACACACAGTAATATTATTCTATGTACAGGATTTGTTATTCAATGGATAAAAGAGGAGGATGATTTTTATTTTGATTATAGCAATTACTTGGATAAGGAGTAAAACATATACAGAATATTAGATTTACTAAATTTCGATTTTTTTCTTTGTTTTTTGATACATCATACACCATTTATCTATATTATTTCGTATATATTTTTCGTCTTTATTATGTCATTTAACAATTGAAATTATTAATATAACTTTATTGATATAACTTCTTTTTTTTTTTGATGAAAATTTCAAGTTTACATTTGACTATTATTGGAAAATTCAGATTACCAACAGTATGTATGGGACGAATGAAGTGAGCAGTACTCCAACATTCAATGATGATGATTGGGAAGCAATTTTTGGCAAGGAAGATGAACTCGACAATGTGAAGGAGCTAAATCAGAGTGATTTCCAACGGTAAGCAACTTTTTTTTCCTGATAAATTCGCTTTTTTTTTATAACTTCCAATATAGAATCTTTTGCAAAAAAAAAAGAGCTGAAACTTATACATACGTTTCGACTTTTTTTTTGTTTTGGAGAAAATAAAATGCAGCTATTATAAAGGTTATAAAAGATTCTTTTGGAAGTTTCAATTCTTTGAATTAGATGGTTTTCTTTTTATGTTGTGATTATGTTGCATTAACAACATTGTTTCAGAACTGTCTGTTCCTCGACGAATTCCGTCGTAGCTGTTGATAATTCCGAAACAACTTTTGTTCACAAAACGCAAGATATCGTGCATCCTGAGAAACAAGCGCAGAGTACTTTATCAAGTAGTCAGTTTTTGTTCGTATTAAATTATAACTGAAGATTGGAAAGATCTGTTCCATCTTCACGCATAGCTAATTTCTGAAATCGTATGAAACGGCGGTTCCAATTACTCTCATTTTATAGGTTTTTAGTTTGAACAAGTGGAAAAAAAAAGTGGCCTTGAAGAATGGATCATTATGATTTTGATTTTCTCGTTATCGCATTGTTATTTATCTCTTTACTTCCAATTATTTTAATAAGTACTTCTGTCGTAACCCTCTCTTGTAATTATCATAGATGTAGTTATTGTAGCTAAACCATTCCGTGTAATTCATTTGCTAATTAAATTGTGATTGCTTACCATATCGTTCGTTACAATTGGCACTGTAATGAATTGATAATTGATTATGTTGCAGTGGTTGTGATGGATTTATGTATGAAACGTGAGCAAAAACTTCGCGCAGAAGGTAACATCATAGAAGCGAATGCGTTAAGTACCGTTGGTTTCTCTGTTATGAACCTGATGGCAAAAGTAATGGAGTTGCTACAGTCAAATGGTTTCTTTTCATTTTTGGTTGTAGCTTATGGATTACATGTGTCTACAGTATTACACAATTACATTGAAAATTACATTATAACTGGAAATGATAGAGTTCTCGGTTAGCAAACTAGTTAAAATTATGACATTGAATTTGAAATTCTCACTGTTTAGAGTGCATACATGTTGGAAGTTTAATGCTAGAAGCAGTAAAAGCATCAATGAATAAAGGATCGAATGAGTGGGAGAGTTTGATATTATGTACCACAAGTATTCATGCATTAATCGATGAAGTACGGATGAAAAACGAAGATTTAGATGATAACAAACAACTGAAAGTAAAAGATGAAACGGAAAAGAATTTGGATAAAAAGGAACTTGCAACGAAGGTTTGTTTATCAAATTCATGCTATTTCCGCTAGTGTAATAAAGATTTTTACCAGTGATATGATTTCATAACTTTTTTTCATCCAAAGACTTTTATTTATGTGGTTTTTTGCAAATAAAGTCGTGTTTTTATAAAAGTTTGTGCTATTTATGTCAGTGATAGCATGATGTTATTTGTTCCTGTGCTGTTAATAATGCTGCTAATTATATTAATATTGATGCCTTATATTGTTGAGTTTTCTTGAAAATATACCATTTTGTCGTTCAGTTGGCGAATGAAAGGAAAAAACGAAAGTTGGAAGCTGCGCTTGCACGAAAACAAGAGGAAGCTAACGAAATGCGTAAACGTCGCCGTGCGATGCAACGAACTGAGTCACATTCAGTCTTCTCTCCTCCAATAACCTATAAAGCAAAAAATTATATGGAAACTTCTGATGTAGTTGCTAAAAGATTTTATTGTTAGATTTATTTGAAAATAATCGTGCTGTCTCTGTATATTCTATCTCGCTTTATGTAAATTTGAACAGATGCAAGTATAAATTGTTTATTTTTTACGTGTTCCTTTCATTATCAGTACTGTTTTCTTCATTGACTGTTTCCAGGACGATAAAAACACCAACAAAAACACCATATTAATAATGGCTGCGAATAAATACAAGATTCGTAAGGAAGAACGACAAAGACAAACTGAAAGAAAATCTCAGATCAGTCAGGAGCGCAAATGTTTACCCCAGTCAAATGTTTCAGGTACGATTCTTCAAGGCATTAGTAGTTTTCAGATATTTTAGCAAAAGTTCATTATAACAATTGTTAATCCTTTTTAATCCATTACAGGTAACAATATCTCAGACAATAAACTGGTGAAACTTTACACGGTCGTAGTAGAATGTCATTAGTTTGTTGTTCTTGCTTTCGTTTTTTTGTAGTGAATTCGAAACGGATTGGCAGCTGTTATATCGAACCTCTAAAAAATTGATGTTTTGCTTAATTCCAATGTGACGGGGAAGTTTACCAGTTTCAAAATTTGGGAATTAAGTTTGAAAGTGTCCTGGAACAGAGTAGTCCAGATATTGGTAGCATCATACTAATTTTAACCTAAAAATTAGATTTAGATTAATATTACAGTCATATCTAACTTGCTTGATGATAAGAACTTCACTGGTCCTATAAGTGCGGAAGCTTTAATGGAAGAATGCGAAGAATCTGATTCAAGCAATTCGATTACTTTGCCATCATTTCCGGTTTGTTACGGATGTTTATTTTTTTATCTAAACAAATAAGGCTTTTGCTTTTTTTGCCTTTGTAGTCAATTTTAGTCTATAGATGACGAGATAGAACAAGTCACTACAGTAGTTCAAGTGACTGGTAACTATTGTTTAGGCTTTATTTCACTTTTTGGGACTTCATAGGTTCCAGGGTGCTGGAAATTTCTTTTATTTTCATGTTGACGGGTGAACACTCTGTCGAGAATTTTTGGTTCAACCAAATGAACGAGTGAAAGCCATGTCAATGAAGTCAAGAATTTTGAATCATACATTATCAAATACGAACATCGTTGAAGGTGCAAGAAGCTGCTAATTATAACTGTTTGCAACAATCACATTCGTTACTGTCTTCAAGGGGAGAGCCTACGACGTGTCATACGTCAGATCACATTCGAAATGCTGTTAGTGATTCTTTGAATGTTTATGTTTAATCATTAATTAGTTGTAAAATTCTTCGCTAACTCTTTATCTTCGACCACTTTTAATGAAAACATATTTTTGGATTTTTCAAGGGACTGAATTTCCCCTCAGTATCGTTAATTTTGCTTCATAAATTTTCCTCTTCAAGATGTTGAAGTTGCATTTTTCATAAGTTATCTGATGACAATCTTGTGGCTTTCTCTTGAACTGGGTAACTTTCGATAATTAGTATTCACTATTTGACAAACAAGCGAAGTTCTTTTTTGCACAAAGCTTTAACTATATCTTATTTCGCACACCTCTCGGTTATAGTTTTGATAAGGTTGTTGACTTACTGTAAAGTTTCATTTCATGGACATAGACTAAAAATTCAGCTTTTTTGCAGCGTCATGGTTTTTTTTTTTTAAGAAAAATTTATTTCGAAGGTATAAATTTCATGTCATGAACTAGAGTCTTACAAATCTTGCAAATTCAAGGGATATATACATATTGTTCTTATCTAGAAGAAACTTTTTTTTTTTCTAGCTTCCTGTAACTGGAGAAGGTAACAATCCAAAACTTACCAATAACATTCCAAATCAATCAGCGACATCTCCATATTCATCGATTGCTGTTAAAAACTCGAATTCGTCCGAAAAATTTCAGCCAAGCATGAGTATGAATTCGACAATTACCACAAATCCAATTAGAGCAAAGTAAGTAACTGTAACCTCATGTACTCCATAGATGCGTATCCGAATGTTTGATATGAAATTATGTTCTGTTTTGCTGTTATTTTTCCCAAAAATTCTTATGGTGTAATGCATGGAATGTATAATTCAGGCGTGTAACTCAGTCAGCTCAAAAATATAATAATCTGAATTTTGTAAAGATTCGAAAAGTTGGTGCAAAGCTCAACAAAAATACCAGCGAGAAGTTACAGCCTGAGAAAAAGTTTGTTTATTCACGATTTGGCTCCTATTATCTCTATACTACATACGTAATTAAATTAAAAATCATTAAAAATTCACAGAGTCTTCTTAGGTGTCTCTCTTCATATAGTTTTCAACTTTCTCGATGTGTTTAAAGTTTATATTTTCCTGAATATGCGAAGCTCTCTACAGTACTTAGCTCACGAAGGACGTGTTTTAGGAATGTACTTTTTGTTGCTGAAGACGAATATTCTATAGTCGAAGTGTCGAATGACCCAAATTCAACAACGGTGGGTTTCTGTAGACTATAAATACTATTGCTGTATTTTTTGGCGATACTGTATTCCATTGCACAAATCCTTTTCAGGATGCTGTAGATATTATCGCATTTCGTGATTATCGTAAGAAATATCCACGAGGATCTGCAGTTATGCCAGAGGTGATGGCTGAAGTATTTTTTTCTTGGGGAAGCTTAATACTGACTGGAGTATTTTTGTTTCATGGGAAAGCTTATGCTAGATAGTTCGTCTAAATGCGTTTAAAATTGCATATAGATTCTTGGATGCTTGTAAAGACTAATTATTAGGAAATGTGATGAGGCAATATCTCTTCATTAACTACCCAGATTTCTTTAATGAATCTAGGTGTTTAACAATGAAATTTTAGCTAGTTATGCTCTGGATATCTGGATGAGGACATAATGAGCGTTATAAGTTGATGGATTATTTGTCCTTACTTTTTCGTTTTTCTTTTCCCCTTTGCTTTAATCTTATCCGTGTCTTTACTTATTACTTCGCCACTTTTTTTCCATTCGTCAGAATAGTATATCACTGAAGAATGAGGTAGAACCTGAGCTATATATAGCTCATCTTGCTCCACGCGATGAACTGCATTGAAACATCACTGATAGGTCAGTTTTGATGTTAGCTAAGTGCCGTGCAACACTGAAGCATATAAGCGAGATGCTTGAAGTGTAAAAGCGACGATATCTCATTGATTTGATGAATTTACTGAAAACGATATTTCTCAAACTATTAAAATCCTGAAATTGATTTTGAAAGGAAGCGCTTTCCAACTTAATTTTAGGATTTCAGTGGAATAAACTAGTAATTCTGCGACATGTATTTCTTATAATGTTTCAGGAAGAGAAGAGAAAGAAAATGGAGAAACTGCCTCCTCGTGAATACGATTTTTTCGTAAGTTTGTTAATTGAAATGATAAAGATATTTTTGAGAAAGATACAAATTTACTAGAATGAATGGGTCGTATTTGGGTTTCAAGTGTTCATAGAATAGTGATGTTTCGAGACCGCTTTTTTTGGGAGCGAGGGGGGAGAGAAGAAAGGATTGGTGCTCACTTTGATTGCTCTTTCCTTTGTCATCAGTACAAAAAGCAGTTACCAACATTTGAAAACTAATTGAAATTTGATATGATGTGCAATTCTTGAAATTACCTTGTCGCTTACTGCTTTTATTACGAGAATGTTGGTAAAAAGAATGTATTTTGAAAGATTCATGAGATTTTGTTTCTCGTTACTCATTTAATCGTTCTTTTATAGCTTAGTTCAGCTATCCCTCGACAAGTTGGCAGTATCAATGCACGTTCCTTCTGTGAAAGCTGCGAATTTACACGCGGAAATATACGTAACTGGTAGGTTTACGTGTTTTATTACGAGAAATACATTTTTCTTTTTCTCGTAATGTTTTAATGCCCATTCATTTTTTTTTTTTTTCTTTTCAGGCTCATTGTTGGTTCAAGGTTTGATCGTTTGAATGAGAATGTCTTCGATGTGAAAAAAAGTGGTTGTCCAAAAACCCATCTGTCTCGTGCCAATTACCCTCCGATTCATTTTAGGTTGTTTTTGGTCTTTGTATTTCTGTTTTATTAGAGTAATTCGGATTATTTTCAATGATCATCCTTTTTTCTGTTTTATTACAGTGATGTATTGCACTGTCACAAGTTGTTGGTTCGCTTAATGTCATTTAATTAAAGTAGTTGAGTTTAGAATATTATCTGATGCTCTCACACATCTCTCTACCGACGTTGCTGGCCTGAAAATTTTCTTGGCTGTTGGTGAAGATTGGATTGTGAAAAGCTCAATGATACTCGAAGAGTTTACATCATTTATAAGGAAATTTGCCGTAAGGATTGTTTCGGTTATCTTCTTTTTGTCTATTTCAAATACAAGATTTATCTAGCAAAATTTACTGAACTTGCAGAGATTCTGTTTTAATAATACTTTATTAAATCTTCAAATAAATGTAGTTCATTTCTTTTTGTTTCATTTAGTTCTGGATGGAATATGATATAACTTGAGGTGTATTCAGTGTTATAAAAATCTTCCAAATCTTGGAACGTTTAAGATATACAACGCTTAATCCGTTTTTTCTATTCAAAATTGTCAGAGCTTTAATTCTGATATTTTTCAGCATATTCTACACGAACTCTATGTTAGGCAGTACACGTTACAATGTACAAAAAAAACGGAATTCACGGATGATTTAGAAAAATTTAAAAGTGATTATGCCTATGTCGAAATGCCAACCATCATATTACTAACTATTCCTGCAGCAAGTTTTTCATTTATAATCTGTTTATATAGCTTCCAATTAGTGGTTATCTTATGCGAGAGGAAAAATAGAATAAGAAGTCATTGCTGTCATTGGTAGAAGTTCTCGCGTTTCATGCATGTATCTTTTAAAAAGGCAAAAATAAAAATAGTGAAAAAATAGTATTATGAGCTAAAAGGATGTTTGATGATGATACGTATGTACATGTTTTAGAGGAATGATTCTGACGCGGAGATGAAATGTAATTTTTACAATGGTGCAATTAAAGAATTGGTGCAAAATTGGGATGCAACTTGTAGGAGGTAACTTTTAAAATTTTCACTTTTTTCAGGATCAAGCAGAGTAGTTTTATGAGTTGTGCTTTACGTGATATGGGAATTAATAAATTACATATGGTAGTCTCTTAATTTGAGATACATGTTTGTTCAATTTTCTGATTTTCCATTTTTAAGATTTAGCTTGTTCTCTTTAATTACAATTCCTTTCCTCTTCTATCGGAAACAGGAGGGAGAAAAACTTGTTTGTTTTATTAGATTAGATATATTTTTCAAGCTAAACGTACTGTTTTGAAAAACATTAAAACGAAAAAACCTGTTCATTTTAGTCCCTACTATCATAATGCTACAAAGCAATGTATAGAATTGAAATTAATTGATTGGCGACAAATATGTGTTAGTGAGAATGCAAGAAGTAACGACAGCATGATTACTATTTTAATGAAGCATTTAATGGAAGAGTGGGGTATATGTATGACACCTACGAATCGTTCGTAATTTGTTACACTTTTTTTCAGAACCTTCACTTTTCATGATGAGAATCTATTTGTTAATGTACAAAAATCATTTTCGTGAGAATCTTTTCAAGCTATCCTTTTTCTCTTTCATAGCACCAAACGTTTAAATTGCAGATTTATGATCGGTGAAAAATTGTTAATTGTTTTAAATGTTTTATTTGATTATTCCATTTCATGCTTGAATATCATATAATTGCATTTGAAATATTACATGTCAATAGAGTATTTAATCAAATAATTTGTATTCATGTTTGATTATCTTGTGATGTGCATTGAGAAATCAAATCCATTTAGTGAAACACTTTTATAGTTCTGCGTCTTTTTTTTTTTTGAAATGAACAATTGATCCTACAACCGTTTCGATTGTCAAAACCGTTTCGTAATACATTAGTGATGGTTTATTAAATTTGATATATTTTATTAATTTATTGACGCTTAATTTTAAGATGCGGATAGATTTGAACAGAAAATGGTTATAGAATAATTTTAGAGCTTCCATAAGAAAAACGATTGGGAAAAAAAAAATGTCATGTTTTATTAGGAAAGCATTCAACTTCTTTTGTATCAAGATTTTTAACAATATCATTTTTATTTCCAGTTTTGTAATTTCTGCAGTTTTGATAGTTAATTTTATTTGTTTTTTCTTTTTTCAAATCATATTTCTAGCCAATATTTTGTATTAGATGCGAACAACAAAAATTGTTAAATGTTGTATATCATCAAACTTAATGTCTTCAAAATCAATTGGGTAATCTCTGCCATAGGTATGATTAGGATTCCTTTTTGTTTTCTCCTTTTTATATTATTTTAGAAGGTGCAAAAATTTTGAAGAAATTTGTGTGATTTGGAAATGTAATTCAGGATGAGTTTTATGAATTTTCAAATTTGGTGTCGAATTTTTAAATTGTTAAATTCTTTTAAATTGAACAATGATGGAAAAGAAGCGGATATACACTGAGAACGGGTAAAATAAATGCTAAAGAAAAGATTAGGCTTGATATTAAATATTAATTTCGGTGATTGATTTGAATGTTTGCTTTGTTTATTTGCTTTGCTATTCATTTTGCTATTTACTTTGCTTTGCATTCATTTAAATTATGCATTTATTATTTGTTGCATTTTTTTTTTTTTCTAATTGTAAACTAATTTAGAAGTTTGAAGTTTATCGCTGCATTATTAAATTGGATACAAT